GTTGCCACTTGTGAGCTTTTGTTGTGCTCTTATTTGGTGGAACTGAAGTTGCAATTCTGCTTTTGGTTCTAGGTTAAGACTATCTTGTTTCATGTGTATGATGCTGCTTGGTTTCTGGAATTCGCTATCGCTCATTTTCCTTGCATTTTGGTATCGGAGCTGTGGTACGTTGCGCTAATCTGCCGCTTATCTTCTGCTTATGCGGTGCATGCACGCGGTTAGCTGGTTACGTTGCGCTAATCTGGCGCTTATCTTCTGCTTATGTGGTGCATGCACGCGGTTAGCTGGGTGAGCGACACTGGGTAGCGTGCAGTGAGGAGGGCGGAGGCAAGCAGGCGACCCAGGTGGAGAGGGGTATCGCCAGGAAGGCTGAGAGGTGATATTGGGTGTTTCGCAGTGTGATGAGAACTATCTGATGTGCGATTGATGCTGAGGTGGAACGGCGGTATAATGCTGGTTGTGCCGAGGCAATGATTGGTCATCACAATCGACGTCAGGTCATCTGGTGAGAATATTTGTGCTTGGGGGCAGCTATCTTAAGGTACGTTGCTCTTAACCTTATCTACCCTCTTCGACACTTCGTACCTTGAGGATGTGTGTTATGTCTTGAGAGTCCTCTCATGTGAGGAGTCGAGTGCGCTCAACCTTGAGAGTCTGCATTGTTCACGTGGAGCATCTGGAAGGAGAGGGCGTTGCCATCTGAAGGGCCCTGGACGAAGCACTGGGTCACGGTCACCATGCCAACCCACCGGGAGTAGAGCACGCATGCTTTGCTGCTTTGTCCTTTGTCTGCCAGCTGCACTATACATAGGTCATGAGGGGCAGGCCAGCCCTACAGGGGAGACGGGAACCGGATGTCTATAAATGAATACCGGCGGGCTACCTTCCATTGGCTGTGATCGTCATCCTGTTTGTGACGTTAAATAATTCCTAAGGACCTCAGGGGTCGTCCTTAAACTGCCTCTTGATCAGCCAATCGGTCGGTGTAAGGCTCGCTGCACACGAGGGTAAACATGGTGCAGGGCTGGCCAGCTCAGCATTGACTTCGGCCACAGGGGTGGGCCGTGTGCACACCTTTAGACACGCATGCTATCTGTATTGCCCAGGAACGCTGACATCAAGTGACATCAAGAAGAACTAAGGGAGGGGTAGATTTCAGGTGATAAGTCAGGAACGATTCCACTCTGCAAACAGCCATGCAAATGATTCTGTTTTCATTTTTGATTAGTCAGATGTACAACCATTAACACATATGACAGACAACATAGGTAGAACTTTTTGTTTCTCCTTATCTGCTTTCTGTTTGCGAACTAGTCAAATAAAATAGTTTCGTTTGTAGGAATCTGGACTTACCTGTTGGACCCAATTGTGTATTCTTTGACAACACCACCGATTAATTAATTTTATTATTTTAAATCGGTCTGAACACTACGCTGCGGTAGGCAACCGAGTGTATCCTAGTGCAGACTGTGCACAGTGTTGTAGCATATGAGCGACAGGGATGACCTTGAGCCGGACGATCGGATCTTGTGTTCGTCAAGCCGTAGACGCCCATTGGTCCACGTAGCATTAGGACCCGAGGGTGACCATCTTATGTTGCGCCAACTTAGGGAGAGGCAGCAGCAGCAATGGAGGGCGAGTGACGCAGAGGCAGCAGAGAATTCGCCATTGAAGGCTCTGTGAATTTCCAAGAGGGATCTGAATACACGTAGGATTTTTCCTGCATCCAATCTTGCACGTGGATTTCTCAATCTTGAATTAGTTTTAGGAGCTAGAGCGGGCGGAACACAATTGTTTTGGTGCCTTTTTGTTCTCGTGTCGGCGCCATGCATGCAAGCTTTCCCCATTTCCCACTATACCCATGCCATCTTCCCCTGTCTCTTCTTTGCACCTACTTTTCTCCGCTCGTAATTGTTTTCCATCCCCTCCCCCTCTGCGCTTCTTCCCCTCTCTTCTTCGTCTAAATCTTGGTCCCACCCCGCACTACTCTTCGCGCCCTCTCTCTTCCCGCCTTCGTCCCCGTATGAGAACTCCCTACTGATCCCCCCCCTCTCAGAGTACTCGAACCATCAGGTGACATCGTGTAAGGAGGATACTCCCCTCACGCTGTAATCTGATTGGCTGCGAAAATACTCGTGGGGATCGATATGGCTTTCCCCGGGCGATTAACCCGAACCCTCTCCTCACCCCTTCCTACCTCCGTCCCATTCCCTGCCATCTTCTATCTCCTTCCTCGCAACTAAAAAACCCACAAGCGCATCTGAAAAACTCTCTCTCAACCCATTTGCCAGCTTCTGGGAAGTCATGGTTAGATGATGCGTATGCATTGCGAGTTGAAAAGTCTTAACGATCTGACTGTAGTTTTGCAAGGCTATGCGCCGGGTGGCTGTGACGGACTGCGGGATCTGGGCAAGCCAGTGTAGAAGCTGAGTTGGCGAGGTGGTGATTGTTGTGGTGTGGAGGTTTGTATGTGGTGGCCGGGATCGCCAGTACCAAGGAAAGGAAGGTGTATGTGAACGAGTGGTTGTATGGACTGGGCCCATAGTAAGAGAGCAAAAGGCTTGTGCGTCCTTGATCTTCGGTTCCTCTCTTTTCTTGAAAGATAAATTCACGGCGGATTGTCGGTTTTGGTTCTCAGATCTCTTTGTGTGTTCATCTCTCTTTCTTTGTCTTTAGTCCCCTTCTTCGGTCAAGCTACGTCTCCGTCCGCCTCCTCAAACTTTATCTTCCCTCTCCCTCTCTCACTATTTTGGTATGTTCGTCATGAATGTCTGAAAGTTCTGATAACTCCCACGTCCCTACCAGCTCCTGAGATTTTGTCCTGCCCGTCTCATCGAAAGTCAATCAGATCTCGTGAGGACGAGTATCGTTGAATTTGAGAGACCAGCACGCTCATGAGATCTTGCCTCGCCCCGTTCTTTACTTCTTATGCATGTATCGGTTGAGTTGTCGCTCCGATTATGGAATGAATTAAGATTCCGATATGATGCACGCTTGCACAAATATATGATGATCGTCCTCTTGAGTGGATTAGCTTGCATGATGTATGGAAGATAAGGCATAGTGTTGTGTCGGCTTATTCCTGTGATCGAATAACGGACTGATTGAACAGGGGCAACCCGTTTTTCTTATGCCATGTGGACCGATTACCCTAATCCGACTGGGCGTCAACTTCCCATGCCCTCACCACGCCAATTCCCGTACAATGAGGAAAGGACGTGTATGTGAGTGGGACGTACGAGAAGTCGTCGCCAAGATCGGCGAGCGCTACTATTTTCCTCCCGAAACAAGGTGCTCGGGATTCGTAGGCACTGGTTTTGTCAATATCGATACTCATTTTCCCCAGTACTCGTTGCTATTGACTTTTAACGAGTTGATTGTCATCCTGTGGACGGCGGTAGCGCCTCATTGGCCTAACACTCTATGCAGCGATTGTCGCCGCACTGAGCGTTATCAGAAAAAGGGGTTCCATTACCGAACACGTGGCGAGGACGAATACAAGTAAAGAGCAACTAGGCTGAGGCCATCCACATCGGATTCCGAACTCTATAGCAAACGACGCAGGGACTTAATTCGAAAACGAGATCCCACGTGTGTACCCCCGCCTTTCTGTTCGAAAAGACGTCGAATAGACCGTACGGAAGTACAAAGATACATTTTGGATTAAACGAATGTTCGAAAGCTGAATGTGCCATTTCTTTCCCGCACGGCTATGGCCCTTTCTCACTAAAACTAGAACCACACGAGGGATTTCAGTTCCGTCTGTGTCCCCACCCCCAAATATCCTTGGCACACCCCATTTTGCTGTTCTTTCAAGGCCTGTTCCGCATAATTTATCACTCCGACCAGAAGACAACAAAGGGCGTGAGGTTGAACGCCATAGGACGGGGCCAGGGGAGGCGGTGGGCGAGGGCTCGGGGCGGGGCGGAGGTC